TTTGGCTTTCAAGGATTTTAAAATGTCAGATTATAGTTTGCCCGTTTTAAAGCTTTGTCCCCACGTGCAGTTGCAAACCGTAGTTGCTTTTTATGGCGTTTTAAGCAGGGGCTTCTCTTGCTAGTGGCCTTTCAGTTATGTCGATAAGGACTTTTTATTGGAAAGATCTTTGTACGTTTCCCCGCATCTCACAAGGTCCTTTGCTGTTGTTTGGGATTGATTTGCATTTTTCGCACCAAAGTACGTTCATCTCTAGGAGACAGAACGCGCCTCCTTCTATGTTATGACGGCTGTTGGGTCCATGGTGTTTATACTTGCGTACTATGTTTGTACAGATGAAGTGGTACCTTCAGGCTTTTGGGAAAATTTGCTCCCAATGATGAACCAGGTTTGGGAGGTCTACAAATTCTTTTCTGAGGTCTTGTGTTTTCTTTTGATTTTCCCATGATGTCAAGCAAAGAGGCACTGAGTTTGAAGGTAGGCCTTGAAAACACATCCACAGGTTTACACTCCCAATTTGAACTCAAATGATGTCAATTAGCCTATCAGAAGCTTCTAAAGCCATGACATCATTTCTGGAATTTTCCAAGCTGTTTAAAGGCACAGTCAACTAGTGATGAAAACTTCTGACCCACTGGAATTGTAAAACAGTAAATTATAAGTGAAATAATCTGTCTGTAAACAATTGGTTGGAAAAATACTGTGTCATACACAAAGTAGATTTCCTAACCGACTTGCCAAAACTATAGTTTGTTAACAAGAAAGTGTGGAGTGGTTGAAAAAAAATTTTAAGACTCCAAACCCAAGTGTTGTTAATTTGACTTCAATGTACATGTGAATGAGTAAAAACAGTTATGTAAACATTTAAAGTGACCAGTGATTCCATGTCTATGTTTCATAAAGGCAGCAGCCTCTAAGGTGGGAGGTAGAGTAACCGGGTGGTTAGCCGGCTAGGGAAAAGTGACTAAATTAGGAAGGGTACTGGGTGGGGGCCGGCTAGTATGGGTATTTAAAAAGTCTGATGGCCTTTAGATAGAAGCTTTTCTCAGTCTCTCGGGTCCCCCCGCTTTCTGGATGATAGCGTGGTGAACAGGTCGTGGCTCGGGTGGTTGATGTCTTGATGATCTTTTTGGTCTTTCCCTTTGACATCGGGGCTGTAGGTGTCCCGGAGGGCAGGCAGTGGGGCCCCCGGTGATGCATTGGCAGACCGCACCACCCTCTGGGAGCCCTGAGGTTGCGGGCGGTGAAGTTGCTGTACCAAGGCGGTGATACAGCCCGACAGGAACTCTCAAGGTGCATCTGTAAAAGTTTGTGGGGGTCTTACGCGCCAAGCCAAATTTCTTCAGCCTCCTGATTTGAAGAGGCACTGTCGCACCTTCTTCACCACACTGTTGTGTGGGGGACCAGTTGGTAGAGCATGGTGCTTGGGAATGCCAGGGTTGTGGGTTCGATTCCCATGGGGGCCAGTATGAAAAATGTTTTGCCCCTCACTAACTGTAAGTCGCTCTGGATAAGAGCTTTGCGAAAGACTCAAATGTAAAATGTAAAGGACCATTTCAGATTGTCAGTGATGTGTACGCAGAGGAACTTTAAGCTTCTCCACTGCGACCCCGTTGGGGGCTGAGCACCCCCCGTTTTGAGGATCAGCGTAGTGGAGATGTTGTTTCCTCCCTTCACCACCTTGGGGGTGGGCCCGTTAGGAAGCCCAGGACCCAGTTGCACAGGGCAGGGTTCAGACCCGGTCCCCAAGCTTAATGATGAGTTGGAGGGTACTATGGTGTTGAAGGTGGCTGTAGTCAATGAACAGCATTCTTACATGGTATTCCTCTTGCCCAGGTGAGATAGGGCAGTATGCAGTGCGATGGCGATTGCATGGTATGTGGATCTATTGGGGCGGTAGCAAATTTAAGTGGGGTTAGGGGTGTCAGGTAAGGTGGAGGTAAATGATCCTTAATTAGCCACCAAAGCACTTAATTTACATTTTCGTCATTTAACAGACGCTCTATCCAGAGCGACTTACAAATGCTACGGGGATAGTCATTTTTGTTCAGTTACCTTTGCTTTCTTGGTACAGGAACAATGGTGGACATCTTGAAGCAAGTGGGGACAGCAGACTGCGATAGGGGAAAAATTGAAAAGGGCTGTAAACCTCCAGCCAGCTGGTCTGCGCATGCTCTGAGGACGCGGCTGGGGATGCCGTCTGGGCCGGGAGCCTTGCGAGGGTTAACACGCTTAAATATCTTTCTCATCGGCCATGGAGAAGAGAGCCCACAGTCCCGGGGCGGCCCGCGTCTGTGGCACTGTGTTATCCTTAAAGCGGGGGGAAGAAGGTGTTTGGCTTGTCCGGGGGGCAAGATTCGGGTGTCGTGAGTGGTTGGTTTTCCTTTGTAATCCGTGATTGTCTGGGGTCCCTGCCATATAGTCTCGTGTCTGAGCCGTTGAATTGCAATCCACTTGTCTCTGTATGGATGTTTTGCCTGTTTGATTGCCTTATGGAGGGAATAACTGCACTGTTTGTATTCAACCATATTCCCAGTCACCTTGCCATGGTTAAATGTGGTGGTTCGCGCTTTCAGTTTGCAGGGAATGCTCCCATCTTCCACGGTTTTTGGTTTTGGTTAGGTTTTAATTGTCACAGTGGGAACAACATCCCCTATACACTTCCTGATGAACTCAGTCACCATGCCCGTGTATACGTCAATGTTATTCTCAAGGTCAGTAACCCGGAACATAAAATATATTTAATCAATTTGAATTCAGGCTGTAACAAAACAAATTGTGGAATGATGTCAAGGGTATGAATACTTTTGAAGGCACTGTATATCCTACTTTGACCAAAAACGACAATTTATTTACTTAAAAATCGTTGCGCAACATCACGGGTAAGCTTTGGGCATCGTCTTTCAGTGAATTTTATTATTTCTTTTTTTGGTACTTTAAAGTTATGTTGTTTACAGAGGAGGCTGGTGGGAGGGCTATAGTAGGATGGGTCATTGTAATGGCTGGAATGGAATAAATGGAAAGGTATCAAACACACAAAAGATATGGAAACCATTTATTCCTTCCCACCCATTAAAATGAGCCCATCCCCTATAGCTCCTCCCCCCAGCCCCCTCTGGTTGTTTATCAATCAATATTCAATTACTCTCACATCTGACATTCTTGTTGGCAAACCTCAATCACCTGCCCCAATTTGTCAATATAGTTGATGTCC